AAAAATTGGGATAAATATACAATATGCACATCTGTGTGCACAACTTGAATGGGTTCCTTACTAAGACTAGACATGCAACTATATTCTACATTCAGTTTGTTAAAAAAATGTTTGAATAATTTTATTCCAGTATATAAATGGAAACTAATTGTTACATGGTTTGATCCAGTGTACCACCCTGATTGTCAATGCTTGTCAGGTGGGTATACAAATACGTGATAATCTCCAATTTGTTACTATTGGTACATGTATGAAGTTATTACAAAGACACTACAAAGCATGCACACAGGAAGTACCATGCTTGTATCGATAGATGCATAATGGAGATACTTGCTATCCTGTACTGCCTGAGTGCACGCTTTAAGGTATTCTTGTGATAAAGTTATTATTATACAAAATGGTAATAAAGATTGTTTAGGTTCAGTGACAGAATTCTATATCTGTCACGCTTTATAGGACATCTGTCACTTTGTGATATCCACAAAGACAAGGACACGACAAAGCATGCACGCGGGCAATGCCATGCTTGTATCAACAGACTGTACTGCCTGAGTGCACACTTTAAGGTATTCTTGTGATAAAGTTATTATTATACAAAATGGTAATAAAAAATGTTTAGTTTAAGTGACAGAATTCTATGTCTGTCGCGCTCTGTAGAGCATCTCTTTCTGATATCCACAAAGTTAAGTGTTCTAATATGACATCAATCTAGATTGCATTTAATGCTGATCATGTAATTTATCCCAAATATTGAACGTTCAAATGAGTACCGTACAAATATTTTGAACCAGTAAATTCTATTGTTTTTGATGCTAGATGTATATATTATCTATTGGGAGTATAACAAAGAATGCAAAACCATAATTTCTCCAAATCTCAGTTCCAACATGCAGTCTAGCCAACTCATTATTGAACACCATTATAATTTTTTCCACTATAATTTTGATGCCATTTTTTTTTTTTATTTTAGACCAGATTGACATAATTCCCCTACGAGTCTTGATCAACATTTTAGAAAAAATATGAAACAAATCTAACAGATTTTATTTTGTAAAGTGTAACACAAATTGACATTGGAGATTACACATATATGTACTTCTGTGGGAGGTGGGGAAACTACAAAGTTTGAAGACTGTCTCTTGCTGCTTGCATTTTCTTCCTGGCTTTCTGAAATAATTCTGAAAAACAATGTTTTAAATTCAATAATAAGTTTATTAATGGTAGATAGGCCATCAGTCTGTTTCACTAAAATGAATATTTATATATAAATGCACTGTAAACTGTAAAATTTATACAAAATTATTGATACAAGCACAATAGCATTAGTTTTCACTTATATTTTATTTCATTGTCATTCACGGGGTTTTTAAATCCAATGATTTGTCTGCAAAAATATTGAGTTCTACTGTAATTTTTCCATGTTCACTTGGATTTAATTAAGCAGATTTCACTTATCTTTGAAAATAGTGTAATTACCGGTAAAACCAAGTGACAAAATAATACTTGTAGTACAAGCAACACTGGTATATAATCCTAGTTAAGCACTAAGATCAAAGACTTACCGAGTACACTCTGGACAGAATGTTGCATACTCAAACCACTGTAAAACAAGTAAAACACATATCAAGGGTTTATAAGGTAAAGGGTACACAACTAGCATGATATGCAATGAAGCTCTCAATACAAAGTCACATGAATTGCACAAAATTGCAA